GCCAAAAAGTTAAGAAAAATTTTTAAAATTGTTTAATTTTACCATGGGGATTTTTCTGCGTCAATTTGTTTGAAAATTTTTCTTAACTTTTTGACAGTACCCCTCGCTAAAAATAGAAAATTTTCCAAGTTATCAAGTGTGCTGAATACGAAAAAGCACTTTTCTTTAACTCTAAATGAACTTTAATTTTTTGTCGGTGATATGTAGGTCACATATCACCGACCGCCAATAAATTCTGGCTTTTGCTGTGCTCTTGCGATGCTGATTCAGCCTAAGATTATGAATTCGTTTCCTCATCGTCACTTTCTGATGAATATACAAGACTTTGATCAATACCGCCGTTCGCTGTTGCTGCTGTGGGATATTCATACTCCTCCGAAGAATCACTATCGCTGCCATAGGTTTCTTCAGAAACTTGATCGTTATCATTCATTAACGTTTCGTCAAGTTCTTCTTCTGATGCGTTAATATTCGTTGTTGTGACTGTGGCGGCTATCGTTCTTTTAGCACTAAACAACCAAAAAAGCATCCAACCATTTAGCATCGAAAAACCGTAGAATTAAGATGTTTTCTGCAAAAACGTGTGCGGTGCAGATTATCTCTCTTCGACTGTCGCAAAACTCTCTCAGGTATAAAGTCCTGAGAGCTCTTTAGTTAGCAAGAGAAACGTGCCAAGATTTGCTTCTTTAGCTAAATAGATCGCTTTAAAACCCCTTATTCAGCGTTTTAGAATCTTACTATGGTTCTGATGGATCTTTTTAGGGATCAAAGAGAGCAAGCACCTCATTTTGACCAGGGCCGGAACCAGGATTTTGGTAAGGGATGGGCATCTAGAAGAAAATTCCATCTTTCCTAGTCTTCATTTCCTGCAGGAGATCTCCGTTCAGGAAGCTATTACCTAGGAATAAGGCTCTAGCGAAGAAAGTTCGTGAACAAAGTCTGAAAGAAAAATTATTTTCTTTACTTAACTTCATAATTAAAATACCAAAATAAGGGGTTTAGATGTGTATCAAACATGATCCTCATGTGAATCCGACGAAATATGTACAGTCATTCTAACTATGAGTATTTCTCTTTTTGTTGATATCCGTCCTCATTCTATTTTGTTCATATACATTATCACATAAACAGAAAGCGGAAGAATGTGAAGAAAAAGAGAAATACTGACAGTTAGTAGTACTTCATCAGAAAGTTTCTAGTGCACGAAAACAAACTATCCTAAAATGACAGCGTTCTGATCTTTATATGTAACTGCTAGAAATAGTTCTACAGTACAAGTAGTACGGTACAACTAAAGTGAAAGATTTCTAGGGATGGAGCTTGTTATGGAAGATTTTATATCTTCTAATATGAAAAAGAAATTGTTTTCTATCTTTTCCAAAATCTGCCTCTCATGATGGTATTTACACTTGTTTGGAGAACACATCACTCAATTCAGTTTTTGACGCTGATCATGAATATGAGCTTGGTTTTCCTTCAAAGCGGTTTAATCATAAAGAAAACCACAAAAGAAAGTTATATCTCCTTTCTTTTTCTTTCTCTTTGGGAAAGAAACGAGAAAGTGCCACCCCTAGCTGGAAGTTGGCGCTTAAACGTTAATGAATGATAACGATCAA